CTGTCTAGGGTTGATTCTTTCTACCATAAGGGAACAGCTTCAACGTATTCCACCTTCTCTTCTAGTCCAGGCATCCTGTGTTGAGGGTCTATGTGAAAGGATCCTGCTCTCTCTACCCATCATCGGCGTTCGTTAGCTCCACTCACTCATCAGCGACCGGTGGGTGAGGGAGCAATGGATTTTCTCTTTGTTCTATCATGGATCTCAACTCTGCGTTCTTATTTCGTAGAGTCTCCACGATCTACATCAATTTATTATGTCTTACCTATTGGTCTTTTTCTTGCTGGTGAGAGCCCTCCTTTCCAATCATGGTCCCCGATCGGAGTTGTGTCACTCGTCGTTGAAATCAATAAATCCTTCTTCCGTTTCCCACAGACGGCGCCAGATGAAAATGCAAGAAAATGTCGATCTATATTAGGAAAATATTTTCTTACACTCTTAACAATTTGCCTCTCTTTCCTTCTATTACTTCTATTTATAGAATCTTACACTTGCCCTAATTTTTTACATTTTGCTCCTAGGTTGAAGGTTTATAGGGCTTCTTCCTTTAGGGGGTGGTTTTCCTATACAAATTAGCCCAAACAGAGTCCTGTTCTTGCTACTTTTGATTATGTATGAACTAGGCCTAAATTATGGACTTTTTGGATGACGAACAGCCCAGTTGGTCAGGTCTGTTGGGCTGTACCTTGGTCGGCTAAGGCCCGTTTGCATTTCCCAACCCTTCAAACACAAATTCCTCAAATTATACCATAATAAGTATGTTTTCAAAAGGGAAACAATAAAATTAATTTCAACAACCTAGGATTACACAAGTGAGACAACCTCTACCTCAAGCATGCAAAACCTTAGCTTGCTCCAACCTTGAAATTCCACCAAATCGAGAGCTTATACCTTCAAAATGAAGAGGAAGAGAAGAGGAACAACATTTCCTCTTCAAGCTACCCCAAAAGTTTATGTCTAAGCCTAGGTCGAAATCTCCAAGCACTCCAATGGCCTCCAAATTCACATTATTGCGTAGATCGGGAGATGCTCTACCACTTCTCTAACTAGGCCTCACTCTAATTCCAACTCCTATTAATTTCAAAAATTCTAAAGTGGCTAAATCTCTACATTATTGTGTAGAGAAAGAGGAGAGGAACAACTCTACCTTTTTAGGTAAACTCAAAATCACAAGCTAAAGCCCTCAAAATGAAGCTTTCTTAAACATATACATGGAGGTGATATATAGATAGATATAGAAAGAAAAAATGTGAGGAGGAAGATGATGAATAGTGGCCAACATTACATATATATAACCACACAACTTTTTGCTAATTATGTCATTTTACCCAAATTTGTCTAGCTAATTACTCCCTTCCTCCAAACAACTTTCATGAAATTACACTAAGGCAAAATCCCACCGAAAAGATAACAATAATGCCCTTCAATGATCTTTCACTTAGGCCCTCGCCATTCTCGTGCACTTCGGTCACCCCGGACCCACACGGGATCCCCCGATCCAATACTCGAAAATGTCCAAAATGAATCGGAGAACATTTCTAAGAGTTCTAAACTCGAAGAAATGATAGAGATGTCTCTCAGAAATCATATAGTGAGCCAACCGATGTACAACACGTAAAACGAGGTGTTAAAAAAAATTAAAAAAATTTGAGACGTCACATAGTCCCTCCAATTGAGAGAAAACTCGCACTTGAGTTAGAAGTAAATTTTTACGATCAATCAAAAATGTAAGCATGGTGTTTCATCCATTCTTTCTTCTTTTTAAAACTTGTATCAAATACAATAATCTTCTTATACTAACAAATAATGCATTTACATAGTAAAAGTGAATTTTATTGGATTTCCTTTGAAATTGGTAGATTCACAAAACTCGATGGAACAGGTATCCTGAATAAGAAGTTTAATCAACTTTAACTTTTGTTACAAGAAATGCCTAGCAGTTGTAGTGCACTCTAAGAATTCACTCCAAATCATATCATAAAAGTGAAATCCATTACTTTTCACCTCCATGGAATATCCAAAAGCCTTATCACCCACTACATTTTTCAAGCTACGTAAACTTGTTTTTTTGCTCAAATTTTTGAACATCAACCAATTGTTACACTTATATCCTTTCAAAACTCCATTTGGTGAAAGGTTAAACGCTTCATTTTTCTCTATTGCTATTATTTCCACCACATTTTGATAGTTATCTTCATTAGAAGATTCTTCTGTAGTAACTTCTTTATCATAGATCGCCAATTGATCCAAATCTGTAGACATTTTTTACTCGTATGATTCAATGTGTGGTTCTTCATAAAAAAATTGGAGGCTTACTCCACTCAACAAATGGTTCTTGATTAATCTTCACAGGTAGTTACTACACATTGAATCATACGAGTAAAAAATGTCATGGTTATATATATATTGATATATGTTGATTGTTTATCTTTCTTGATTAATCTTCACGGGTAGTTTTGTTGAGCTAATGTGAAGATTACAGGTGGCTACATGTGTTGAAGCTTCATGAGGTTCAAGAAGAGTTCCGTTTTATTTCTTTGACAATCATTGTAATTTGTTTTTTCTGCTTGGGTAAATTACATGTTACAAAATTGCCAAAGAGGGAGATTGTGAAATATATATTTTGGGGAGATTGTGAAAAATATATATATATTATATATTGGCTAATTTCGTTGTAAAAACAAGTCCAATTGAGTTGTAATTTTTCGGTTCAAAATTTCAAAGATGGAAGATCGGATGCGGATTTGGAGAAGTTCAAGTGTTCATGGTATACTACACTCCAAAATGATGAGAACAATGCTTTAGGAAGTTTTGAGAGGTAGTGAGAACATTTAGAAATGGTTTTGGAAGTTTTTAAGGAAGAATTTAAATTTTGTCCATGTTGAACTGGTTCAACGGGGCTAAACTGGTTCAACTTCAACAAAATTCAAGACTTGCCATCTTGAACCGGTTCAAGAAGTCTAGCATCAGAACTTTCAGTTTCCTTTTTCCTGATTGTTTCCTTTTTGAACCAAACTTCCTTCCAAGTCCTATGCACGAAATTTTCTATATTTTTAGATGGATTAAGACATTCTAAACTTTATATAAACCATGATAGTCATCTAGGTTTAAACACGGCTTTTGCATACAAAATTTAGATCTGTTAAAGAGCCATCTTTAAGAGATATTTTTATTCAGAAAATCAATCTGATTTTTCTGATTTTATTTTTGAGACCACACACATAAACACAAGAATGATTTATGAGTGTTGTTCTCTATCTTATTGGAATTGGAGCATAATCGAAGATTCAGAAATTTCGGATAAGCAGAATTCATTTATTCTTCATCAAATTCAGATTTAGAAGAAAAAAGGTGAAGTGACCACACTTTGAAGGGGTCAAAGCATTCATGGAGTGTTGTTTGATCTACCCACAACTCTTTTACAGAGATCAAGAGTAAGCCTGAGGTCGAGAGCTGTTGGACGGGGGAGTCGCAAAGTCAAGGATCGTCAGCAATTGGTTTTTGGTAGAACAATAGGGTGTGAGCCTGAGTCAAAGTTCAGTATATTTTGCTTCAAACATAGTAAATTGTTTATCTCAGGACTGCAAAGTCCAACGAAGTTTTTCCTGTTACAATTAGTCTATTATACCAATTGGGGTTTCCTCGCTAAAATCCTGGTGTCATTTCTCAAACTCTATTTACTTTACTTGTACCTTATTTTTTGCTTTGTGGTTTGATTTTAGTTTTATTTCGCTAAAATTAAAATAAGTAAAAATTGGATAAAAGAGCAAGTTAAATCTATTTACCATCCTTCTAGGTTAATTATCCATATTATATTCCACAACCATTCCGCTGCGCACAATCTCAACAGAAAGTCTTCTTCCATTTATGTTGCATCACCAAGAGTGAGTGATAGAACACCGAAGGTGGGGTGATTGAGTGAGTGGTATTAAGTGCATTCTCAACCGTATTAATATATTCTTCTTAATTCATAATAGTGAAAGTCTTTCTCTTCATGGATGTAAACCTAAAGTTGGGGCGAACCACGTAAAAAAATGTGTTGTGCTTGATTGGTGTATGTATATCCATATATGCATGTTTCATGGTTGTATTATAATATGCTTTTACATTGCTTGAATGAAGGGGGATTTAATTTCCAACAACTGGTACCAAAACTAGTGGGAGGGAATTAAAATTCGTAACAATATATATATGGTCCTTGGGACCAGATACCAATTATTAATTGAATTTATGAGAACAATCTGTCTAATTGAAAACACTCAATTAGAAAATAAACACATGAGAAAGACAGTGAGAGAACTGAAATTTGAGAAAGATGAAATTTGTGCTTAGCAGATGAGAGAGCTCCCTTGATGTTAGCTAAGTGTGAGGAAGACATTAAAAAAGTACAATTACACAAGATGATTGACCTCACACCATTCCATCCTTAGAAAGGAAGGAGACACCTGGGACAGGCGCAGAAAAAGAAAAATTCAAAACTATAGTATATCCTGGAGGCATACCCCTAAGACATCCAAAACATCCATATAATGCGACCAACACAATGGGCTCTCTAGCACTAACAGAATGAAGCCTACAATTCCTCTCGTTCCAGAGATAATAAAGAGTAGAAGTGAACACTACCTTTAAAAGCTTGCTCCTAAAAGATTTAGCAGCCAGTTGTTGCACCAGATTTGTAGAACACATCATGTATCCCAACTAAGAAGCTCCCCAAACTACTCCGCACCTGCTTAGCATACACACATTGATAGAAAATATGGTCTGAATTTTCCACACTTAGATGACAAGAAGCACATCTAGAAGCCAAATGGATCCCTCTTCTCTGCAAATTACAATTTGTAGAACTAGCACTGCATGTGAAGACCATCTAGGCCTGCCCCCATTCCAACACAACTTAAACCGACTTCAGGTCAGGAGATCCGACAAACCTCCCACGCAGCTTTGAAGGAAAAGACTTTATTCTGCCACAAAATCCTGTCTTGACCACCAGTGATTGAGAATTTGAAAAAAAAAAAAAACTGATACATTACTTGTAGTAGTTCAGCAGGGAATTTGGACACATCCCATAAATTATTATTGATAAAATAATTCAGAGATATATTCTTGACATGACTCAATGTTCTCAACAACCTATGGTTGAACTTCTGAGATAAAAACCCCTCACACCAGGGATCCAGAAACAGTTGGACGAGTATACATCCCTTACCACTACATGCTGGTAAGAAGCATTCCTAGTATAACAATTTCTGAACCATGCCATCCACAACCTATCTTTTGAAATCAAGAAATCCCATGCAAGAGAGCACTTAGCAGCCTTATCAATATCTAGAATTTTCCTTATCAATATTAGATTTAATCATTTGTATTTTGTAATTCAATTTACAACATAATAGATTGGTTTCTATTTCACAACCAACAATATAATCATGATTTTTACTAGTACAATTTTCTTTTATATATTATTTATACACTCTTTTTTTTTTTTTTGCCCTGGCAAACAATACAGAACTACAACCGACCAATATGGGATTATATAGAATATAATAACAGGAAGATCTAGTAAATGCTAATACGCTAGGGAGATGCTGAGAGCTTCTTGATTCTTGCAAGGCAATTGTCTTTGGGCTTTGGAATTGGCAAGTATTTCACCCCACATTTTGGATTAAGTCGCTCGAGCCTGCGCACGAAAAATTAAATTGAATGTTCTAGCCGTGTTCGTTTGCAGGGATAGAGCCAAAAAATATATAATTTTTCATACTTATTGAAAAAAAGATTAATTCAAAAATGGGAAAAATACAATAAGAAGAAATAAAGTAGAAAATTTGATATGAGAAAGAAAACGTATAGATAAGAGTAAACAATGAATTACATGTAATAAAAGAAGTGATAAAAATTTCTTTTCTTTTATTTTTTTGAAAACAATGATTCCATTCCACTTAAATAGGGAGTTTGAAAATAAAGATCTTCTATTTTGAAATAAAAATAAATAAGTCTTGTTACTAAATCTGATAATATTTTTAGTGACTTCTTAAAAATCACAACCAGAAATATGTGCACTCACTTGTAGTTAAGAAGAAAATAATGAAGAAACACAGAAACTTCAAGCTTGGCTAAATCTCCTCCAGGGCACAATCTACTCCCTGCTCCAAAGGGAATGTAAGCTCCTGGTTTGGTTGTATGACCCTGGTATAATTCAATCATATTATACTAAATGAAAGATCATTGTTAAGCTCAAAATGCATACATATACACCAACCTATATGAGTAAACTTATCAGATATATATAATACTTGTATATCATTATAACTTGAAAAATTAAATCAAATAATTTTCGATTACATGTGGGAATACTGAATTGACGTCCTGAAATTGAAATTTGAGAAAATTTAGTTTCAAGGCGTGGATTCGCTTTACTTACATCCCATCTAGAAGGATTAAATTCCTTTGGGTTTGGGTAGTTTTCAGGATTGACATGGATATTCCTGATCCAAGCCAGAACTTTCCATCCTTTGGGTACGATGTAACCTAAAAGACCAATAAATTTATTTGAATAAATCGTAAAAGAATACAAAAATAGAAAACTAAAATGAAGACAGAAATGTTGAAGATTAATAACTAACCATTGATGTTAACATCGGTTTTTGCCTCCCGAAAAAGAGCAAACGAAAGATTAGCCACGCGCAACGTTTCATCAATCACCTTCAAATTCAAAGCCAAAGAACCATTAAATGTTATATAAAATTATGTAATCAACCATTTTTGACATTGGGGGTAAGTTTCAGGGCACGTTTGTATTTTTTTATTTTTTATTTTTTTGATGACGTGAGAACCCTCGCAATTATCCGTCCTTTGGACTTGTAGCCATTAGGTAAACCACGGCTACTCACCTTGGCCCCACAGTGCAAACAGCATTTTAAGTCAAGGGTAATAATAGAGGTGGATGGGGTCGAACCTAGGACATTTAGGAGTCCAGGTCATTTGTATGTCTTATTGATGTGCAATTGGTATTTGTTTTTAAGTGTGCAATTGTCTTCAATACTACCTCAAACACAATGGAATGAATTCATTTTTTATTTAACCCTGTCCTTCTCCGAGGTTAGATTATTTTAAATTTCTTTCAATGACCTCCACTCATGAGTACTGACCTTAATTTTGAACGTAAAATTACCTTTATTTATTCTACCTTGAGGAGGAGACCAAAGAGGAGATTACTGTATCACTGGATAGTATACCAATTGTACAGGATTTCCTGAATATTTTTCAAGAGATTCCAAGGTTACCACTTAGTCGAGAGATAGACTTTGTTATTGACTTAGTTCCAGGCACTACGCCTATTGCTAGGGCACCAAATAGGATGACACCAGTGGAGATACACGAGCTAAGGGATCACATTGAGCAATTACTCAGTCAAGATTCGTAGGAGTACTTCACCTTGGGGGCGCCAGTTTTGTTTGTGAAGAAGAAGGATGGTTTACTTTGCTTGTATATAGATTACGGGGAGTTGAACAAGGTTATTATTCGCAACAAGTATCATTTGCCCAGGATTGATGACCTTTTCGATCAATTGAAGTGAGCTACTTATTTCTCCAAGATTGTTTTGTGTTATGGATATCATCAACTTCGGGGGGGTTAGGGAGCAAGATGTTCAGAGAACAACATTTCTCACTAGATATGGGTCTTACGAGTTTCGCGTCATGCCTTTTGGATTGACTAACGCACCAATAGTCTTCATGGATTTGATTAATAGAGTCTTCAGGGCTTATCTAAATCAGTTTGCCATTGTATTCATTGATGATATTTTGGTCTATTCTAAGTCAGAGGATGAGCATGCTAGACATCTTCGCACAATGTTGCAGACGCTTCGTGAACACCAATTTTATGCCAAGTTTGAGAAATGTGAATTTTGGCAGCAAGAAGTGAAGTTTCTGGGTCATTTAGTTTCAGAGAAGGGAATAGCTGTAGATCCAGCCAAGGTTTCAACAGTGGTAGAGTGGGGACAACCTACTTCTCCTCCAGAGATTCAGAGTTTTCTAGGATTGGCCGGATACTATCGTAGGTTCATTCAGGGAGATAACGAGACCACTCACTCATCTGACTAAGAAGGGTGTACCGTTATGTGGGATGAACACAATCAGAAAGTTTTTGATGAGCTAAAGAACAAGTTGACTTCTGCACCGGTTATGTCTACACCGCAGAGCAGGATGAGTATTTTGTCTACATAGATGCTTCTTTGTAACGTCTTGGGTGTGTTTTGATACAAGAGAAACAACCAGTTTCATATGGATCTCGTAACCTTAAGAGTTAAGAGAGAAATTATCTGGCACGTGATTTAGAATTGGCAGCTGTGGTGTTTGCCTTACGCATTTGGAGGCATTATCTGTTGGGAGAGTCCTTCAGATTATTTAGTGATTACAAGAGTTTGCAGTATTTGTTCACTCAGCGGGAACTGAATATGAGATAATACAGATGGTTATAGCTTGTGAAAGACTATCATTTCTCTATACAATATCATCCAAGGAAAGCGAATGTGGTGGCAGATGCACTTAGTTGCCAACTCTATGTTAGTCTTTCTGTTCCCTGTTCCCTATTAGTCTTCTTTAATTTCTATCATTGCCAGAGTTGGAGGCAGATCAGGGAGAGGCAAAAAGAGAGAGTGATGGGGGGAAGAATAATCTTTATGAGAGAAAGGATTGGTGGTTGCCATGGACGAATATGGAAGAAGGTATCAAGGAAGATGATTTGGAGTTGATGAGAATGTCATTGACAATGCGATGAGGTATGGTGTTGAGGAAGAGGTGGTCATTGTCCTTATCACTACTTCGTCGCTGGTGTTATATGACTGTTCTTAAAGGAGGGGATCGAACAGGTCGCATTGCAGATGTAATGTTTGGTGGTGCTAAAATGAGGTGGGAATAGGTGTTTTGCGCTAAATTGTGGTGGGGCAAGTATTGTTTTGTGAAAAGATGATGGGTTGTCCAATTCTTATTGGTTATTGAGATTTTGTTTGACACATCAACAGAATAAGTTCATAAAGCACCAAAATGGCGTAGTTTCACTAAAGGGTAATTTGGTAATCTCTTTCATGGTACCGGAAACCTTACTTACTATCCTCAATTGGAACTTTTTAATAGTTAAAGGGATCACTTTTTAATTCAGAGGGCTATTGTATAAATTCCTTATAGTTCAGGGTTGTGTGTGTGTGTGTTTTTTTTTTTTTGGTTGGTTACATATATTATAAGCACAAACACATACGTACATGAACATGAAATCCAAATCAAGGAACAGAAGATGGGTGAACTCCAGTCAATAGTGAATGCAAGCCAATTTGTGGATTTTTTGACTAGCTAGGATGTTCTATTGGTGGTCTTCTGAAGATTCGAACAAGTCTATAATGAAATCCATTTGGTCATCACCATTAAACCAATTTGATCAGAATGGGAGCTGGATTTGAATAACTAGATTCAAAATCAAAATCAAGATCATAATAATTGGAATTATATGGATGTGAGAAGGAAGGTGGTGAACATGTCATCTTCACCGTGGTGGTGATTGTTCTGAATGAAATCGATGGTTTTAATTTGTGAATCTTGTCATTGTTGATGATATTCCAGTTCTTGTTTTGGGACATTGTTGCAATGATGAAAAACAAGAATGTATCATCAATGGCATCAACAAAATTATCATTTTATTTCTTATTTGATTTTCAAACTAGTGGATGTTGTGTTGTGTCAACATTTTGGGTTTTCTCAATTTTAGGTCTTGTTTGCGTCAATAGTTGGATAGAGAGAAAAATTGTGGCAATGGAGTTAGTGGTGGTGGTGGGTGGAGAGAGAGAGAGAGAGAGAGAGAGAAAGTGGTGGCAGTGGTGGGTGGAGAGGAAAAACAAAGGTGGAGAGGGTATTTTTGTCCTAAAATGTGACGTATTTTGGTAAATAAATGGCACTGTAAATGTTAGCAGCATCATTCCAGATGAAGGGAGGACATTTTGGTCAAATCACCCTTTTTTTTTAGGACGGAGAGGAATAATAGTAGCAAGTGAGCAGACGTGAGTGGACTCCAATGCAAGATTTTTGAAAAGTTTCATCAGAGTATAATTAGACTAAGCCTTAGGGAGATCAGGTACCTTTTATCAAATTCAGAAGCACAGATTTCCCATTAATGGATCAACTATTGTTTACCAAAGGGTTTATACACCAACGGTATAACCTCTCAATTCTCAAAGATGGTTGGGAAGGTTCGAGCCCATGCGTAGATAAAAGTGTGTTTACTTTAGCATTCAAAAGAAAGAAAAAAAAATTAAATAACGAGTTAAATACAGACAAACACTATCTTAGGCGCGCCAATTGAAATGCATGTACTCTTACCTTGGACAAGTACTCCATTTGCCTAATCTCATTATGGCTCAATCTACTTTGTGTGGGAGGTCGTCTCCTTATGATTTCCTCTTGCTCTTCCTAGAAAATCAAACCAATATTTAGTAAAAAATGGCTTGAAAGTTGTAATATCAACTTAGTAGAATAACCTTAAGAGCTACAACTCACAAGAATATAAACTTGGTATGTTGTTGATCAAGAAAACAATTAACTTTAATGTCAAAATCATTTGTGTGTTGTGTTTTTGCTGCCAAATCAATGAAAAATAAAATAAAAAATCTGAAAAAAGCAGGGACGAAGCAAGAAATTATGTTTAGGGGGGCATAATGTAATAAAAAAAATTTGAGGCCGGGCAATTTTAAAATTTTGTAGCATTATAAATACGAAAATGAAATTTTTAAAGTGGGGGAAATTTTAAATTTTAAAGAATTTTACATACAAAAATGAAATTTTTTAAAGTTGAGGGGTAAATTTTAACATTTTTGAAGAATTATACATACAAAAATAATAAAAAAAATCAATATAGTGTAGATGCCATTTCTTCTTATTCTATTATTTATTTTAATTTTTTTTTTTATACATCAACCAAGTATTTTCTTCTTCTTCTTTTTTTTTTCACTCTTTTGGCTTTAAAACATTATGCAATAAATTTAATTACCAAATATATTTTTATTTTGAAAGAAATACTTCTACTTCATATTAATTAGTGACGGCAAAACATAAATAGTTACCAAATCCGCCCTTAGATTTCATGTGATTGTCACAACATTATTAACTTTAAAAACTACATTCCTACCTACTAGAGAATATAAATGATCAGGTAGAACATCTCTAATTTTTTTTTTTTTTTTTTTAAGGCACGTATATTGGTCCGATAACACATGCAATATTTAAATTAGGAGTGCGGTTCGAAACCGAGACCTCAAAAATTTATCTCCCAAATCCTTGCCAACGCCGCTATGCTCGGAAAGACGAACATCTCTTATAACTTAACCAATAACATTATATCAAAATGAATAAGGCCTTGAATTCCAACCTCACTATTAAATGTTTAAAACAGCATGTCTTAACTTAAAACTTTTTAACACCAACCAATATCCTAGCTTGTTAATTAATATGACAGCTTTTCTATATATAAAATAAATAAATACTTGCTAGCTATTATTGCAATTATTAATAAGAAAACTATATATATATAAATGTTAGGTTGTTTTTGTACCTTGGCCTTCTGCAAGCATTGTGGATTTTCCTGCAGGAAGATCATAACCCAGGTAGTAGCGTGGGCAGAAGATTCATGGCCAGTGAGCAAGAACATGATTATCAAGTCTATGATCTCTTCATCACTTAATTTCTGACCATCCTCATCTTCAGTTTCAATCATTATACTCAACACGTCTTTATTTGGCTTTGATTGGTTGCTCTTCATCGTCGCCCTTCTTTTATCAACAACATCTTGAAAATTCTTTACCAAATATTTCCTAGCCTGATATGACAGATGACAAATAAGAGTAACCACTATCAAGAAGCCTGTTGTTATTAAAAATCAAAATATTCAACTATCATTGTAAATATGGCGACAAGTAAAAGAAATAAATATTATAACAGTTAGTTTATGGCTTCTCCTTTGTCTTCTCTTAATTAGACAAAATGTTAGAAGCAAATTTGGTTTTAATTATTTATAAGAAGAAATTGATGCATGGCTATGTGACTCTAACTTTTGAAATACTTTTAAAGAATAACGATAAGGGGTCCAAAGGTCCTATAAATTTTTCTGATTTTACGTTAATAGAGGTTGATCTCATCATAACGCTAGAAATATTAATGACATTATTGTTGGATTATGTGACTAAAATTCGGTGTGTGAGTAGCGTTCTGACATTAATAAATATGTCCAATTTATTTGAAACCAGTTCAATTGGGGTGAATAAAGATGGAACCAGTTCAGTTCAATTGGGATTCTTAATCTATTTTAGAAGCCAGAAGACTTGGGAAAGAAAGATGTGATATATGTATTAGGTTACTATTTTAGACTTGAATACTGATATGGTAACTCGTTGTAAGCTAGTTAAAAAATTCTTATATAACCAAGAATAGTTTGAAAACTCTATAAATAGAGATGGTGTAAGAGGTAGAGAGATAGAGATGGAGGAAAGATGTAAGGGGTTGGTGAGTACCATGAGGAGACATAACATATGTAATTCCTTTGTGAAAAGATGTAGCTTAAGAGTGTGATGAGCAAGAGTGAATGGAGTTTTGACATCGGGTTGTATATTTTCTTCCTTAATTTATAATAGTGAAATCTCTCTTTCCACGGATGTAAGTGGTCCATGTAAAATATTGTGTTCTATGTAAATGCGTATGATAAAGATATTATCTCCATCTATGCTTGTGTGATGATGTGATGGTGATGCATCTGCCGTGTGTGATGAATGAGACATTTAACTCTCAACACCAACCGACTATTGAGTGGGTTAGATGGTAAAGATAAGGTTTGGAGTGATTCTTATTTGAGCAGATTTCACTTATCTCTATTGAGGTTTGTCAATATGCCACATAAATCCCTCTATATTTCATAATCCCACTTATCTCCTATGTCAATGGCAGGGTGTCATTTTACCGTTTTGCCCATGAATTATATATTGATTAAAATTTTCATTTTAGGCATTAAATTATTAGAAGGGCAAAACTGATCTCATATCAAATTTATACTACTGACGTCAGTAGAGCCTAACATTGAAAATCTGTTATATAAACCAGAACCTTAGAGATGACAAGTGAAATAATTATGAAACACAAAAATAAAATATGTGGGATATTGACAAACATCCAGAAAGGCAAGTGAAATTTATCTTCTTATTTTGCATTTGGAGGAAAAAACTATATATAAATAAATAAATAAAATAAAGGAAAAGAAAATCCAAGATTCTTGATTTTAGTAGTTATTAACCTATGAAAAGATTAAAAGAAATATTACTGAAATTAACAGTCAACCAATGAAGTAAGAAAACCATACCTTAAGTGCCTCACGGTAAGCAAATCCAGGGAGATTAATAGGCATGGACTTCACTCCATGGCTTAGACGAGTATACTCCATTTCCATTATATCCATTGCTTTTGGTTCAAGCTCATCGCTCATTATGATGTTCATGATCACTTTGAAAGCAACCTTCCTCAACTCAGTCAAGAACTCGACCGGCCGGTCCATCCGAGCCCATTCTTCGAACGAAGACATGGCGATGTCTTCTATTAAATCGATGTACACTGACAATGAGTCACGACCTTTGATCGGAGCTGTGGTTGCCCTACGGATACGCCGGTGTTCTTCGTTGGAAAGGCCATGGAACCCTTTCTTTCCTATTAGTTTTGTGATGGATTTAAGAGAACCGTGCCCGAAATTTACATCGTCCATCAACACTCGCCTGCATGTCTCCGATGTTGTCACGATCACGCACGGGTTCCCGAACATGAAGGCCTTGTATATCTGAGCCTCCGCGCCAAATCTTTTTTTTTCGTTCAAGAAAAAAGAAAGAAAGAATTTCAAGTTCTGACCAAAACAAATTTTGATTAATTTGCAGCTAGAACTGTAAAGTCTGTGATCAATCTAGTGTACATGAAATGAAGTGCAACAAAGATAAAATAATGATAGGTTGCTAGTATTCTTTGGAAAATATATTTTGCGTCCATTATGGCAGTGAGAGTGTTGGGTCACTTTTTAAAGCATCCTTATAATCTATTGATCCTCATAATTTACTATGAGACATCACCGAAGAATATGATTAATTCATATTTTAGAAAACTAATTATAATATAAATATTTTTCTTTTGTGTCTAACAACTAAAGTAAAAATGTCGGACCGTTTAAAACATTTAATAATTTACTATCAGGCAGATAGGTTCGGTCGGATAAGTGGTTAGTTCTAAGAGTTCGAAGACAGTAGTATTTGTTCTGCATAAAGAAGTTGCTGATAGTGTAAAACACTGGGCCCAAGCTAACAAAGGTTGGGATTAGGATGATATATAAGGGCCCACCCGGATGGATTTTTCTGGTTGGGCTGAACCTCTGGTCCTGGGCCTGGTTCATTATTTTAATTGCTATTTGGGCTGTTTGATCATTAGTTCCCATCAAAATATTTTTAGGTTAAAATTATAAAAATTCACTCTACCTTCATAATCGTACATAAAATTTCAGTATAATTAAAAAACTCTCTAAACTGACAAAAGTTATCAAATTACTCTCATCTTAATTTTGTGAAATGTCTAATTTAATCTTACTATTTAATATTAAATTAAAACTTATAATTATTATTTTAAAATTACAAAAATAATAATGGGACAAGAAAACCTTAATTTTAATACTTAATGATATTAGGTAATCTTTGAAAACTAATTAATATACGAAATTTTTTAATTTATTTCAAGTTTTGTCTCCCCTAAATTAGTTAAATTTTTATTTTTTTTATCCAAAGGCAAGAGATTCAAAGAAAGTACCCTCGTTAAATTGAAAACATAATTGTTATAATATATATCATTGATTAATTTTTTTATTTAATATATAATGGAATTTGTAAATATCTCGATAGTCTAGTGGGTTAGTGCCTTCGGTAAATTTTAGAGTGTCAAACTTCGACTTTCTGCATCTACTAATCTAACATCTAACCCATCTTGCTTTATAAATATATATATATATATATATATATATATATATATATATATACATATAATGGAACTTTAAATTTAATGAAAAGCATACTTCATTTTATTGTTCATTTTTGGAAGAAATAATAATAATAATAATAATAATAAAAATTAAAATAAAAAAATTGAGCTCTGAGAGGAAGGCTGACCAGTAGCCATGTATCATCTATTTCTCATACCTGACAATCCAAACTTCTATCACTAACTATCCACACACGTAAATGGCTCTTACATATCTAGTCAATGATTGACATGCATATGCATTTGAAATGACGGACCTGGTTAAGAGTTAAATAGGGGAGAGAGTATTCTTTAGACCTTCTCATTGTGTGTGTGTGTGTGTGAGAGAGAGAGAGAGAGACCTGGCGTAACAAGGCCAGAGATGAATAAATCAGGTTCACCATGGTTGAAAGCTCTAAAGAGTGTGTGTGTGTGTGTGTGTGTGTGTGTGTGAGAGAGAGAGAGAGAGAGAGAGAGAGAGAGAGAGAGAGACCTGGTAACAACGGCAGAGATGAATGAATCAGGTTCACCATTCTTGAAAGCTCTAAAGAGAGACCACATATTCCCAATGAAAGGCCAACCCATGTCCCCTGGAGGGAGAGAATACTGCTTTGCACCCAAACTGCTCACATAAATCCACTCATTTACCCTCTTCAATAACCCTAACAATGCAACTATACCACCTATCAAAGCTGTCAAAACCAACCACCCCAAATCATACTCCATATTCAACCTTCACAACTCACAAGCTTTAGTTCGGAGTGTAGAGACTTGTTGATATCTCTTCTTTGTTCTCCATTCCCTATCCTCTACTTGGCCATATTTATAGTTGTAATCACTCACTTTTACCTTCTTAATATATACATATACATATACATGTATTTATGCATATACAGGTCTGACTTGTAGGTTGTATCCACGCAAAAAGTTGGGTTGGCAAATTTCACTCCCTAGCTTGCTCACCATTCTTTTTCCAGAATTAAATGAAATTTTTATTTTTTTATTTTTTATTATTTGTTCACCATTCGTACATGAATTGATTATATCCATCGGATTTATTTATTTATTTATTATTATTATTTTTTCACTTTCCATGTAATGTGTCGTAGTTGCTAGAGATCGATCATTTGGTTCACAAGATTGATAGTTTTGTGTTTTTGTTGGGTCGGGGGTAGGTAAGATGTTATACGAAGCTTAAAGAGAAAAGTACATACATTTAAAATGGGGGCCACTTGAAAATGCCTCCAGCCATGATCAACATACTAAGCCCTCCAAGAGCCTCATCCTCGTTGTGACTGGTTTAGATCACATTTTACCTTTTTACACGTGTGAATAATCTAGACTGTTTGATTATTGTGTATAAAATTGCAAAATAGGGAACTAACGATAATAAAAAAACTTTGAAGATAAATACAATAATTCTTATTATAAAAGTATGTTATATATATTTTAAAAAAAAAACAAACAAACAAACAAACGATGTTATTCTCATATATCAAATAAAGTTTTTTAAGGAAAAGAAATTAAAAATCACCTGTAAATAGAGTTTCTTGATCTCAGAGAAATTCTTCTTTTTCCGTATTCTATTCACTGATTTTTTATCTATATTTGTTCAAAAAGATCATAAATTGGATCCCCTCTCAAGTGTGCAATTTCCTTATTAGACCCCATACAGACCAATTAATGAGGGAAAATACCACCGCGTGTTGAGAGGAAGTAGCTGAAGACTAGCAAAAATTAATAACATATCACATATGGACTGGGCTGATAGGAAGAGGAAGAACAATACTATGGATTGGGCTGATAGGAAGAGAAAGAGTAATACTAAAAATTAATTATATATAGATTGCGTTGATAAGAATAACAGTACTATTTTTTAAAAATAATAATAAAAATAAATAAATAAAAATGGGACCTGGGCCACAGGTTAGCCCATTGAAAGCTCTATCCATGATAACAGGATCCGAACACCCCCACCAACAAAATAATAATAAATTAAAAAATCTCATTGAATAATGACATTCAATAAATAAATAAATCTGTATATATATATATATAACATGCATGTGGTACCTCTTCATTTCTGTTTATAAAGAATTTCAACTAGAGTTTCTTTTAGGCTTACCAAAAAAAAAAACTGGAGTCTCTTTTTGGCTTGCCTTCTGGAGCATATATTTGATGGAAAATGTTAAAAAGACTCGTATCTTTTTCATTGTTTGTACTTAATGGGTTACGAAGAAACTTTTGGTTCATAATTCATAAATAAATAATCGTTGCCTTGAATCTTCTTCTATGATAGGAAAACATGTGTACTAAGATTTCCATTGTAAAAATAATTAATTATATTTGTGTTCTTTGTTGTCCCGGGTTGGCCCAGGCTTGTTTCTTTGTTTGTTTGGAGGTTTTTTTTTTTTTTTTTTAACGCACCGTTTGTCTTTGTATAGTTCCGTTTCAAGCTGGTTTATAAATTTTTCATTTAAAAATAATAAATAATGATCTTTCATTTATTTCTTTTAAAGTATTCTTAACTAAGTGGTCTAGCAATATCAAGTCTCTACTTTGTAAAGGAACATAAAGTGCTTAAGTCTCAATGGAGGCATGTGTGTGTGAGTACCAATTAAAAAAAAAAAAAAAAAAAAAGAAGAAGAAAGTTTCAAGTGCGTTTAGATACATAGGAAAGAAAAGAAAAGAAAGGGGATAGTCATTTTTATTTAGATAAAATAGAGCAGAGAAAATAAAAGAAAGAATGATAATCAAATTATTATCTTACCCTTTTTATATTTGTAAGTAGTTTCTTTAAGTCTCTTTTCTTTTGAGTTCAATAAAAGAATACTAATTCTGAATTATTATTTAAATGTGCCATATTAAATGACCTTTTTTTTATTGTTTGAATGTGGCCAGGTAATTGGTACCACCACCTACAAAAAGTTTCTTGAATGTGCCCAAATAAACAAAAAGTTCCTTGAATGTGCCCAGGCTTCTTTTCTTTTTTGGTTTTTGTTTTTATTTTTATTTATTTTTTATTTTTTATTATTGTTTGAATGTGCCCAGTTAAAAAATTAACAAATAATTTCTTGAACTCAACAGGGCAGCAAAAAAAAAATTTCTTTGTTGCCCTAGTAGTTAGTGCATACGAAACTAGGACCGAAAGGAATAACAAATCTGTACATTTGTTTATGGAAGTTAGTTTTGGTATTATCAAAATATCACTAAACCACACTGTGCTCTCTCTCCCTATCTTCTTAATTTTGGAAAGACAGCAAATGAGAGATAGGGAGGCACTCTATCCTCTCTTTTCTATCTATTTAACTCACCCAAACACAATTGACCCCTAACCTTTCTTTTCTTTTCTATTCTCTCCCTATCCCTCTAAATCATCCCATCCAATAATCCTTATAAGGTAATTTTATTCATATAAAATTCTTGTTGTATTCCAATTATAAAGGCATCTTTTCATAGGTTGTATATAAACTACTACCAATACAAAATTCATAATTTTATTTTTTCCCAAAGTTCAAGTAAAAAAAAAAAAAACAAAAACCTAATTAATTAAAGTAATATTTTCAAAGAAGAAAACTTGTACCTACCATATGCGAAATTAGCTACATAGTATTAGTCGACTATAGCACAACAAAAATACATCTCCAAGTAAAAAACGGATTATTAAAAAATGCTATGTGTGCAATTAGATAGGGCTTTTTTAAAAAGCAAGTGTTCAGACTTTTGCTATATTGGTTCGAAGCTAAAGATATAAATATTTGCTGAAGAAAACATATTACTCATTGTGATGGATAAGACTGAAATTTTTAATGGTAGTCTAGCATTTTCTGTTGGGAATTACTCCGAGATCTTACTTAATAATAGCAACAACAACAAAAACAGATGAACAAATTAAATATACGTGGTTCGCTAAATTACCAACATTCACAGCCCCAAAAAAAACTATCTTATTCCAATATCAACATTACACACTCACAACCTTTCTTTCTTACAATTCTCTTTCTATTACTCATTACACTTTCGCTCTCACGCACAATTCTCTCAACCTTTTCTCTATTTATCAAGCCTTCAATTCTAATTCCTTCTTGGAAAATAACTCCACAACTTGCCTATAAAAAGTGACTATATCAATCACTGTTTCTTATCACTAACTATTTTGGCTAAGTGACGCAATTCAGAAATAATTTCAAAAAGACTAGAATAAAAATCAAAAAAAGATTCATCTTCTTTAATCACAATGTTCCCAAACTTATGAGAAAGCATTTGGATCTTGGACAGCTTTACTTTCGAAGTCCCTTCATGAGTAATCTACAAAATATCACAAGCATCTTTAGTAGTTTTACAATTAGAAATTCTAGCATATTCAGATGGAATAACAAAATTTATAATTATATATAAGGCTTTTCCATTAACATCATTATGCTCAGTTTTAATTGGAGTAAAATTAAAAGCATCTTTCAAAACTTGAACTACTTTACCATCCACAGTTTTTTCTTCAGTAGGTGGTGTATAACCTGTTTCAACTACAGCCTAAACTTTACCTCCTGAATTTTGTAAATCGGCTCTCATCTTAGATTTCCAAAAATTATAATTGTTTCCTTTAAAAAGGACCACGTTGATTAGATCCACCTTTTTTCAACGCATAAGACATAATGAAACAAATTTTTAAAAAGCAATAAAAAGCTTTCCACTCAGATCAACTCAATGTGTAGAGATTGGTTCTAATACCAAATGTGAGTTTATGCAGCGGAAGATATATGTGGAAAGTTTGAGTTTTCAAGAAAAAGATTAAAATGTTTGAGTTTTCAAGAAAAAGATTAAAATGTTTAAGTTTTCAAGAAAAATATTAAAATTGTGTCTTTCTATTTCAACCAACTTTACTTAATTTTAGCAATTAATCATACACAAGATAAAAGTAAAATAGAACAAATAGAGTTTGAGAGATGACACTAGGATTTTTACCGAGGAAACCCCCCAATTGGTATAATAGGCCAATTGTTGTGGAAAAAATCTCGTGGACTGTGTAATCCAAAGTAAACCGATCCACTATATTTGAAATAAAGTATAATGGATTTTAACTCAGTCTCACACCCTATCGCTCTACCAAACACCAATAACGACGACCAGTCCAATAGCTCTTGACCTCAGGCTTACTCTTGATCTCTGTAGAAGGATTGTTGGTAGATCAAACAACACTCCTCGAATGCTTTGACCCTTTCAAAGTGTGATCACTTTACCTTTGTTCTTCAAGATCTGAATTTGATGTAAAAGAAGTAGATCTGCTTTCTCTGATCGTCGTAGATGCAAAATATACTTTGAACACGATCAAGAATTGAACAACACTCTAAAATTACTTTTGTGTTTATGTGTTATTCTAGAAATAAAGACAAAAAAATTAGATTTGATTTTTTGCAAAATATCTCTTAAATAGCCTTTCTAAGAATTAAAAGATGTAATGCAAAAGTCGTATCAACCTAGATGTAAATCAAGGTTTATATAGAATTTAAAGACCTAGATATGGATAGGTAAGGGTAATTTTTGTGCATAGGACTTTTGGAAGGAATTCTATATCAAATAGGAAGTTTAGATAGAATAGGAAACATAAATCTTAAACTGTATCGAACATGTGGAACCAGTAGCCATCTTTGGAACCGGTTCCCAAAAGACAGAATACAATTCTTCGAAGTTAGGTTTTTGAACAGGTAGAAGAAGTGTGGTACCGGTTCCCACTTGACATAATTGACAACAAAGGCTAAAACCAGTTTTAGAAAATTTTTGTTTTTGGAAACTTTAAAGAATTTGAAAATTTGAATGAACATACCATGTATGCATAATGTCCTAAGTGGGAAACAATTTCCTAAAGTGTTGTTCATACCTTTTTTGTAAATCATAGTTTAT